AAAAATAATACCAGACTCAGGCAGATCAGATTGTAATAAAGATAGTAATAGCCGATGTTTCTCTTTTCTACCACATATCTGTCAAGCAATTTACCATATGATCAGAATCAATCACTGTTCAAAGACCAAGAGAAAGATGCCATATAGGACAATAACATTTGGTTAAACATTATCATAGTAAGTACACAGATTGAGTCCCATACTAAAATTTCCCTTACCACAAATCTATGAAGCAGGCATGACGGCATGGGCTTTACCGGATTGACATGGACATGAACCACATCCCCCTATAGGTTATACCAAAATGATTTTGCAAGTGAGAAAACCAAAAACAGCACTGTATTGAATGCCAACAAGATGACATGAAATGAACTGTTAAAAAATTAACCTTTGTCCACTTCTGCTGTATACAGTCATGTAAAAATCGTCTATGCTGGGGGATGGATGCACTGGCAAAAACAGTCTGACGGTTGTTGCATGAAGAATATGATGTCAAAAGCTTCCGGATAGAACTAACTTGTTTTGAAGAATTGAAAATAAAATCAACCTAATAATATGAAATGTCATTCCTTAAGAAAGAATATCAAAAGAAGGCATGCCAATTTAAGAAGCTTAGCAAATAAATAGAAAAAAAAACACAAAAGAAGAGAGAGAGAGATGTACTCCTAATAAACAATCAGGGAGTGTACAAAACAATCACCTAGAATGCAAAAAAGTCTGTTTATTTGTCTAAAAGACTATATAAAACATAAATCACATAATTTAAGCAAAAATTTTATCCAAATGAAGACAACTGAAAGTCAATATTCTGATACTGTTAGTGACTTTATGGAACACAAGTTAAAGGCATAATAATAAGTTTCTCCAAAATTCCTACTGATATTTCCAGAATTCATTAAAAAATAAAAATGTCATTTAAAATACTTTAGAGTTCAGCCCGAAATGGTTTATTTGGAATTTAAATGCAAAACAAATGGCTTATAAGTAAGTCAACAACTAATCAACAGAGGAAAATGCCATTGTATTTTAATTACCTCATCAACTACCAATATTCGCATAGAATCAAGCTTAAATATCTGCTTCTCAAGCATCTGGCTCAAACTTCCTATTGTTGCTACCACTATATTAGGTGGTTCTGCCTGAAAATTTAAAGATTAAAGGAAATAAATAAATAAAATTTGCATTGAACATGACCAGGCCATCACTTTATATAGAGATTGCCACAATTTTTTGTACAAACAGAGGGAACTTTTCAAAATATTACCATGTTAAGAGAACAGCTTAACGAAAAGATATGTCATCAAACTTTACCAGAGTGCACTAAGTTGTTGTGCAATAAAATTTGAAAAGATAAAAAATGGGTAAGAACTGAGTTTCCATTCTTGATCAATTACTTATCAAATAGTTCCAATTGTGAAAACTCATCTATTACTATTAGACAATATTATATTTTTAACTAATTTAGAACAGTGATAATGTTTTGCCACAATCCTGTAAATCTACATGGACCTTTATGAAACAAGAGGACAAGAAGAATGCAGGACCTTCAGCCAACTCTTATGTCTCCTCAACATTCCTCCATCTAAAAGCGCCATAACAGTATACGACTTCTGCTCCACTTCAGGGTCCATAGGCTTTGCAGCCAACATCCGAGCCACTTTTGTAACCTTTGATCATACAACAAACACCAAAACTTCCATAACAATACTACCATATTCACCTTATATTATCCAATTTTCTAACTACTCATCTGTCCAAATTTTCTTGCAGAAACGAAATTGAACTTAAAATGTTAAAACAATCAAAACAAAATTCTTACTTGCATGCCAAGTTCCCTGGTGGGAACCACAATTAAAGCTTGCACAGCCGATCTTTTAGGGTTTATCACCGAATAAATCAGCAATAGGTAAGTCAGCGTCTTCCCAGAACCTGTCTAGAGCACCATAAATAAAGCGTACATTAGCCTTATCAACACAGGAAAATCATTGTTCCTTTTAACATAGTTATTGAGAATTGGATTTACATAAGCTCAACTAACTGAATTAAAAAAAATAAAATAAAATTTTATGATATGATATGAATATTGAAAAATTTATACCATACTATTGAACGGGAAGAAAATCAACCTGAGCATGAAGAATGCAGTCGTTTCCAGAGAATAAAACAGGCAAAGCTTCCCTCTGTACGTCGGTCGGCATTACATGCCCAAGCTCTTCCATCCTGAAACGCCACCGTATCTTCGGTGAAACCATACCAATATAATTTTAAGAAATTAACAAAACGGAAAATGAGGTGAAGCAGAAGCTTGCCTGCCCAGCACGTGGTCCGGCACGTGATCCTGGCAAATTTCACGAAGAGTTAGAGAATTACAATTCGTTTCAAGCTCTTTACTTAGTGGAAACGAGTTGGAATTGTATGAAGAGAAGAGAGCTTTATTTGAGTAGTTGGCTGAAGAAGAGAGATTGAGGTAACGGTTTCGAGGTTGGAGAAGGCAACGGCAAGTGGTTGGCTCTGGAGACGGTGCCGTAATGGTCAGAGAGAGAAGCACAGTAGCTGAAGTTGAAGAAGCCATTCTTCTTTATCTCTGGCTTCGCTGAGAGTGAGAGCGACGGTTTGGGAGATTGAATGATGATGATGAGGATTATAGACGAAAATAATTCTGTCATCACAGGTTTTATGTATGGGCCTGGCGCTGATCTCATCACATCAGACGGTCAATAGTTGTATTTTTTGGTTAAATGTTTAAATTGGGATTAAAAGTTTAGATTTTTTTAACTATAAGTTAAATATTTTAATTATAATAATTAAAAGTTAAATAATTTTTATTCTTTACAATTAAAAGTTAAGTTGACAGATAGATAGAATGTGTATCACACATAACAAAAAATCGTATGAATTGTTGATATGATAATTTAAAAGAATGTGGTGTTATTTAGTATATTTTAAAATTTAATTATTATATATTATATTAAAAATAATTATTATAATTAAAAATATAATTATAATATATTATATTAAAAAATTAATTATTATACAACATGTTAAAATTTTAATAACCACATCATAAATTAAAAACATGTAATAAACATGCGTCAGATATCTCTCATCTTAATTTTTAATTATAAAAATAAAAAATATTTTAATTTTTAATTGTTATAATTGAAATATTATATCCTTAATTAAAAAAATATCTAAATGATTAGTCTCACTTTGATCAATTAGTTTTTTTTTTTTAAAGCTACCTTTGTTTTTTAGTTTATTGAGCCATGAACTAAAGCTAGAGTTAAAGCTACTTTCAATGGCAGCCAAATTTCAATTTGATCCGTACTTAAAGCCAAGTTGTATGAACAAAGCAGAGAGTGTAAAGAGAAGTTTGAAAGTGTATTCTCGACCTTTCGGTGGGAATAAAAAGGGAGGTTGGTAGGTGGTAACATGCTTCCCTACCTTAGAAGCAATATGTAATTAAATGTCAATGAGAATTTCATTTTACTTAATGCAAGTGATTTGATTTGAAGTTGGGCAATTTATTCAATTAGGTAAGATTTATATAACTTGTTCGTGAAAAAAGGAAAAAAAAAAAGAGTGTAAATTGAAATTGAGACTTTTTTTTTTTACTTTTTACTTGTGAAATTAAATTAGTCAATCTATTTTATATATTCTTTAAAGATATTGTGTTGTATTAAAATATTGGTACACCAAAATGTATTAAAAACTTCTTGATTATCTTTTACAAAGTTATTGAAATTTACTATAATTTTTAAATAATTAGAATTCCATTACAAAAAGACTGATTAATATAAAGGTAACATTATGAATTTTGAAATTTGAATAATTAAATTATAAAGAGCAACAATATTAGTATAATTTTTACTCCTGTTGAACTATTACTTAGAAAATAGTAATTAAATTACTAACTTAGTAATAACAAAATATTTTTCAAATAATATTTGAGTCTATTTATTTGAAATAATACTTGCCAACATTCAATTTACCTGGCTACACTTCTAAGATATTATAATAGCAAAATTTTATAGTAAGTATTTCACACATCTCAATTGATTTTAGCATTTTGTTTCTTTTATATTCTATTGTTTTGTTTTCACCTTCTCCAACAAATCGAAGTGAATAAAAAAAATGTTAAAAGATAATATATTTTTGTATTTTAAAATTTTAAAAAGGAATAAAAGAGATAAGCTTTGATATCTCGAGTTTTTAGTTATCCTCACAAAACATAAGTAAAAAATATTTAATTTCAAAATTTAAAACCATTCAATAGGTCTACTAATCCATTAACTATAAAGATTATTAAAGAGCTTTTTTTTTTTAATTTTCAAAGGTAAATAGTGATCTCATGCAACTTTTAAAAATAACTCTTTGACTGTTATATATCGACCCTTAATATTTATTTTCAGATGAGGTTAATTTACAATAATTTTTAAACTAACATATATATCTTTTATATATATATTTAAAAAGTTTTTCAAATTTCAATGAGATCAAGTGACCCCAATTTTTATTTAAGATCTAAAATATATTTTGTTTAGGCTTAATTCATATATATTGTATATAATATTATAATTAATAGATTTCATGTTCAATGATTGAAAATGTGTTTGTCCAAAAAAAAAAATTGAAAATGTGAATAAAATTTGTGAGAGAAAAAAAGAGAGTTGATTTTGACTGTGTAAATATGATCCAATTTTATGTAATTTACTTCTCAAATTGGAAAAAAAATCTATTAGTGAGAGAAAAAGAAGGCGGAAATGGAAAGATTTTGATTTGTGTGAATTTAATTTAATGAAATTAAAAGCCGAAATCTGTAACAAGCCAGCCGAGAACAAATCGGAGCGTCTTACCCTTACGTAGAAAGAAGTGGAGTGTGAAACGGAAAAGAGTATAATCTAAAAAAGCGCCAAATAATGAATCAGAATTAATTAATTAATTAATTATTACAGAAATTGAAAAGGGTTAGATTGATTGATTCCATCAAAAATCAAACCGTCTGAATCGGTTTATCTTTTTCCCCTCCGCCTGCGTATTCTGCCTTTTGCCTCTTTTTCAGTTTATTCTCAAAATAAAATTAAAGTTCTTTTCTTTGACCGCTTACTTTTCTCATCCGAAACCAAACACTGGCTTTTCCTAGGGTTCCTTGCTTCTTCCTTCTTCCGCATTCTCGATTCCTCTCTATCAAAACTCCGTTTCTCTTCTTTGTTCTTCCAAACACGTTTGGTTTCAATGGCGGATTTCACTTCCTCTGCTTCTGCTGCTGCTGATTCTTCTTGCTCCTTGTCCGAGAAGCCGATCGCATTAATGGCTGCTTCATCCTCGTCGCCGCCGTCGTCGTCTTATGGAGCAGTACTTGACGATGGTTCCGAAGACGGTTGCAGCATCTGTCTCGAGCCTTTCTCTGCTCAAGACCCTGCCACTGTACTAATCATCACTCTTTCTAGTCTTCTATATGCTTTTTCCTTTTTTCTTGAATAAATTTTGATTAACCAGTTCTTTTTACTTTTTGTTTGTTTAGTAATGATCGAGCTGGTCGATAATACTTTTTGTTGATCGTAGTTCTTTGAGATTTATTGTCGCTGTTTAATTAGTATTTTGGAACTACAGCTCAGTGATAATTTATTGTTTTCCTTAATCAATTATCTTAATTGATAACCAAATGATCCAAATAAATTGATCATCGAAGTGGAAGAGTTTGGTGGACTGTTCATATTACTTTTGTGAAACGTTATGATTTGTAGCATGCGAGATTGTAACATTGATTGCGATCAGTTTCTTACATTTTCAAAATTTTAAGATGGAAAGTGATCACTGATCTTTACTGTTAGATTCGATCTATTATTAGCTCAATTAACTTTGAAGAATGCTTTCGTTTTCCCCCAACTCTCGCCACACACACACACACACACACACAAACATATAGCCATCCTTTATGTGAGTGAAGGATATATGTCTTGTATATCTATTCTTTAGACGGCTTGATGTATGGACTCTTTTTGCCGCTCTCCTCTTTGGGGATATAATTTGCTCAAAAATATACATGGATTCAAGATGGATTTAATTTTTTATTACTAATTCTTATAGTGTGGGTGCTGGGTAATTGTTTAACATGTTTCAGGTTACCAGTTGTAGACATGAATACCATCTTCAATGCATTCTTGAATGGTAGGTGTCTCTCTCACTTTTAGATTATACTTATATAGGAAACACGGTTTCTTACATATTTGCCCAGGAATGCAATAATATAATAGTTCTTTGTTCTTAATTCTGTCATTTCCTAATTGAACTTGTGTACCCACTAGGTCACAGAGAAGCAAAGAGTGCCCAATATGTTGGCAATCGTTTGTCCTGAAAGATCCTGCCAGGTGTATAACTTGTTAATTCCCCTCCCTCCTCTCTAACTCTCTACATACATGCATTAAATACATCAATTGCTTATGAGCGGAAACTAATCAGCTAATCGGTGATTTTTTGTTTATATGCATGCATCTTTGCAGCCAAGAGCTTCTAGATGCTGTCAGGATTGAAAGGCACTGCAGGTCAAGGAACCCTTCTCCTGCTGTTCCCATAGATTTTCATCATTTCCATGACGATTTTGGTACCGAGGAGGTGATTTATTTGGTTCCTTTTGAACCTTTATATTCATTTTTATGCTGAGTATTAAGCTCAACAAGAATATTTTAATGATAGCATGTTATTTGGTTCTCAGGATGCATCTCATTCAGATGACTCAGACTTTGATGAACGCATTTTGCAGCATCTAGCTGCTGCTGCGAGCAGAGCTCGTTATGTTCGCAGAAGGGAAAGGCAAAGATCTTCTGGGCTTGACCCTGCTCGAGTTCTTTTTTTTACCTCTCCTGAACATATGCCGCACACACAGCAGACAAATCCAACTTCACCGGATGAATGCCAAAACTTAAGGTATGGGTTAAGTCAGTGTGATTCACTGGCTTCAGTCATACCAAATATTGACCCTCCATTACCTGTGAACCCATCTGTTGATGTGGTCTCTAGTTCTGCTGTCAGTGGAGATAAGGCTATCGACACAAGGTAATTATATTCTCTTGGATTCCTAGCCTGTTCTCAACTTGCTTATTGTAGTATGTCCTGTTGGAAGAACATCCTGAAAATTTGCTTCCAACAAGGAGCACGAGGTTTATATTATTCATACTCTACAGATCTTATGATGTGTCTTTCAGCTGTTTTCTATCAAATTTTTATGATGACTATAATAATAGCAGTATGTTATCTTATTCTTTTGTGCATCTCTAAATGGTATTTCTCTGAAGTATTCTTCTGTTTGTAGTGGTCATTGGTATTCACTTGCATTACATTTTATACAACCTCTAAGTCCTTTGATCATTGTTCTTTATTTTGTTCAGGCAGCCACAAGTGGATACTCTACATAGACCAAGCTCATCTGAAACATTTTCTTTCACTGAGTCTATCAAATCTAAATGGTCCATTGCTTCAGCCAGGTACATGTGTTTCAATTCAGGTTTGTTTGAGACTGATATCTATGTGTTGCTAAGGGCATGGATGTATTGCAACAGATACAAGGAATCTATTTCTAAAGGTACCAGAGGTCTGAAAGAGAAGCTTCTTGCTCGTAATAGCTCTGTTAAGGAGCTCAGCAAGGGAGTGCAGCGGGAGATGAGTGCGGGGATTGCTGGTGTTGCAAAAATGATTGAACGTCTAGATATTGCTACAAAAAGACCTGGAGCTTCTATACCTGTTTCTGGTGGCACTGGTGGTACCCCAAACATTTTATTTAAGGGAAAGGGAGTGCAAGAAAATGTTATCGCTCAGAGTCTTAATAATAACCATGCAGAATTCTCTCATGGTTTAAATTCAGAAGAACCATCTTATTCCTCTTTTACCATCCCGGGCAAAGTTGAAGTTTCTCCCACCCAGGTATGACCAACTTTTCTCAGAATGTCATTCCATCAACTGATTGCTGCTAATTAGTTACTCAGATGATCAAGCATAACCCAGCAATATTCTCTTAGGAAAGATGACCGTTTTTAAATTGTCAAGACACAGATCTTTTGAATCTGTATCATGCATTGAATTATTCCCATGTTATTGGAAAAAGTGGGGTGGGATGAGGAACCACTGGTTCATTATGAAAATAAATTCTGCATTTGGTTTTTGTGCTGCATCTGAATGCCCTTTTGTGGTCAATTTCTAAGACATAAGGAACATTGTATTGAAGAATAGACAAAATTTTGATATATTCAAAAAGCATTCCATAGTCACGGATTTAATTTTGTGTGTAGCATTACTTATCATGATATTCTTGTCTTCCAGAGAGGACATTGATGCTGTTGAGTATGTCATTGGCTGGTTCGTTGTGGCAGTTAACATTTTGTTTTGGAAGAGGCTATTTAATGCAAGTGATGTTACAGTGAGGAAACCAATTTGCCGGTTGGTTTGCGTCCTGCATTGCCTATATCTTGCAAAAGATTCCCCAAGTTGGATGGTACATACACCATATATTGTCCTGACACCAACATTTCCTTTTGTCATAAAACACTGGTAGGAGTAGTAAGAAAGCAAGAATTGTAAAAGCTTTCACCTTCTCTCCTATTTGGTCTGTGCTGTTTGCGTTCTGGTTTTACAGAGGAGTTTGACATTCAGCTTTTTCTGTTCTCTAATTATTCGGGCTATTTAAATTTGAAAAAAATGCCTCTGTTTCTTACTTTCAGGTATATTCTAAAATTGCATTCCTACCTTCTTTTTTCCCTAGATTCTTACTGGGAGCAGCCCAGCAGAAATTTTTTTTTAAAAAAAAGGAAAGAAAGTTAAGCCTAATACCCTTTAGAGTCAAATTAGATCTTATCAGAGAAAGAAAGTGAAGACTCTGGATTGTGCGTGCAAAGTTTTTATAGCATAACATTGTCAAGCGGTGATACATTTGCTGTGGTTTTGATGCATGACCCACCCGGCCCCTGGGCCTATCTTACTGGTGGGTCAAGTGGACTCAGGCTGTGTGCCGCGTAAACAGTCCATGCTGCATACGTGTCAGGGAAGTTTTACCATATGATGAACAACTAAGATGACACGTCGGTTCTTGATAAGGTATTGGCTTTGTCCATGGTGGAAGAGCTAGATTTCTGAGGTCGGCATGGGCCATGGAGCGGCCGGCACACCACCTCAATCTTCAGCATTATCGTTTTTCCCGTTTCATGTTTTGGATTTGAACAAGATTCATGTTTTCATTCACGTAATCGCATCACTATGTGGCTGAGTAGTAGACTATTAGCCGACTAAACGGTTGGCATTTTGTGGACATCTCAAAGTTGCACCAGGATACCACTAACTAAACCTACTAATCAATATCCCGAATTTGCTTTAGAGATGTAGAGTTTCATGGTATTAGAAAGAGAGGCTTGTAAAACTTATCATTTTCCACTTGTCCTTTCAGTTAGTTCTTGTGTTGCCTGGAAAATGCTAATACCCAATGGTTTCGGAAGAGATACTTTGAAAATGTTGGGTGTTAGAATGTGGCATGGTAGTCCCCTAGTTGTGTTAGGATGCATTGATTGTGGAAAGGTTAAATGTTAATTCTACTTTGTAACAAATTCAATTGGAGAGGAAATTGACATAGTGTTATACTAGTCGTAGTACTTTATGAAGAAATTTAGGATAAATCGGGGAAGGTTTTAAAGCAAGGAGAGCCAAAACAACAAAAACCAGAGAAGCTAAAGAAAAAAGATTGGGAAAATCAATTTGGGTGAAAAAACCACCCTCACTACTTTTCATGTTAGTATATATATGACAGTAACAGCCATAGTCTTGTAAACCGGGATTGGAGAATGCAAAAACGATGAGGATAAATAGCTGAGCACAAGATTCCAGAGATGGAATTCTGTGCTTTACAGCGGAACATTTTAACGACTGTGAAAACAAAAGAAATAGACTTGAAAAACACATAACAAGTTAAAGTATTATAACAAGTTAAAACGAGTTAAAGTATCATAACAAGGCTTGGTTCATCTGGTAACTTGCAATTGATTAAAGTAATGTATTATTTTAATCTAAGTTTAATTAATTAACTCTTAATTGATATTGATCTTTCCTAATTCTTCTACAACAACATGAATAACCCTCTTACAGTTCTGATATCTGCCGCTATGGCTAAGGCGTCCTTGGCCCCACGGGTCTTTTCTTCTCTTAGCATTTGCATAGTATCATCCTTGTCCCTGTCCTCTTGGTCGTTGACATACGAGAAGGCCAGGGTTGCAGCTTCTAAAGCAGAATGGTAGCATACAGATCTTCCTATTCCGGAGTCCCCTCCAGTAGTCACCTGTGCTACCTTTCCATGCAGATTAGAATAGACAAGTATAAGAAACAAAAGAGAACAAATAAGGTCACCAATAATTCCATGCAAGACTACTCTCCACTAAACGTGCTTGTGTGTCATTACCTTTTCCCCCATAAACGAGCTTATAGGAGTGTGTTGCACACCCGCTTATAAGGAGCTCAGGACATCCCGTTCTTGTCTGATGTAGAATAGAGATATTTTTCTCGTGACACTTTCTCCCCCACTATCTGGCAACGCCCTCGTTGCTTGTCGGCCAACCCACTACCCTAATCTCCCTGGGCCCGCGCGTCGTTTAGTTAGCTGGATGATCGACGGAGAACAGGTCCGGTTATGTTATTTCCAGCTTTGTCACGGTCACTACTTCATTCTCTTCCCTCATTTAATATTAGCGCACTTATAGGGGTGTGCAGCACACCCGCTTATAAAAAGTCCAAAACCTCTCGTTCTTTTATGATGTGAGATAAAAATACTTTTTTAGTTAGTTGGTTAGCTTGTATTGAGGATTTATGGCCGGTGGAGGTGGCACCATGACATATTCTTTGCCTGGCTGTGGAGAGAGCTTTGAGCAAGTGAATATTGGGTAAAGAAGAGGAGGCTGTTTATAGGCCAGCAATGATGTGCGGTACTCTTGCATTGGGCCCACATCATTGGTGGGTTAGATTTCTGAGGTGTGGACTATGAAGCAGAAGCCCAAACCTCAATCTTGAGCAAATATGGTCTTCCATTTCCTGCTTTGGATTTGAATAAGATTCATGATTTCGTTCACGTAATCACGACCCACATTGCCACGGAAAACGGTTTCCAGTATAATGATTGGGAAGATGTAGGAGGTATGGAATAGAAATAGTACTTTTCTTGCGTCCAAAACCTGACCATGTCTAGGGGTCTTAAACCATGATGTCATGTCTCACAAACGTACATACATACATCAACAACAACAACAACAACAACAACAACAACAAAAGGATTTCAAGTCACTCACCCTCATTTATTCAACAAATCATTTACCATCTTTTGCCAATAGCTAAAATAAATGGACATTCAAAATTCAAATTCCATTTTTCTTTGGACTTTCTCAAATGTACAGAAAAATATAAGGAAGAAAGACTAAACAAGTGCATTAACTGCTAAGTTCATATCGAGATAGAACAAGACAAATCATTTCCAAAATAGCAGCAGTCATACAACTGATGACAGCACGATTCATGGGTATATCAAGGTATCAAAACAATCAAAATGATCAAACATATATGATATTATATGCAGGAGATATGAAAAGGGAAATATTGGGGAACAGAGTTTCAAGCATGAAAATGAGAGGACACCTCTCATTGATCTCTCAACCAAATTCAATCAGATCTTCTTACAATATGTGCAGAGAACTTGTTTCCAAGCAGAAATTAAGCCATAGGGACACCCCAGGATAAGATTGAAAACTTCAGTAAAGTAGTAGTGAATGTTTAAGCCAACAAGTAACTAGCATAATATAGAAAGTGCTGGCGTAGAGTGGCAAAATGATTCTATAACATCTTTATATCTGTTCCAAAATAACCTCTGCACCAGAAACCTTGAAGTCAGATGGGGCCTCCTCTACGTTAAGAGCTTTAACCTTTCCATCAACTACGTATGCTGACCATCTACATAAAAACCAACAATATTCTTAGTAGCTGATAAAAATCTGAAACTTTAGCAATGAAATGATAAATAGAGGCATCAGTTTGTTGTCCTGAAGAATGTTCAAAACCAAAGCCCTGGACAAAGTCATACATTCAACATGGTCTGAGGCATCTCCATAATTATATGAGGAGTTGAAAGTCATAGCTGTTTCTTTGATCTATATATAATTCTAATGACAAGAGCATAGTGCTAGAAGTACCTTTCAGAGCGAGGCCCAAGCAAAGCAGCAGAGAGATCTTTTCCTAATTCTAGGCTCTTGTGGAAGCTTCCGTCAAAGTCCCCATAAAATTCAATCTGTAACGGGGAAAAAGATAGAGAAGGAGAAAAGAAAAGAAAGAGAGAGAAAAAGGTAAAGTAGGGGGTTGGGAGATGTTGCTTACAGCCACATTAATGCACTTCAATGAAGAAAAGAATCTTAACAACATATCATCAAGTCCAAATTTTATTAATCACCAGTAGACTAGTCTGTTTAATTTACAAAATTACACTAACTAATTTGCGGGAAATACACTAATAGCAATAAATTAGGCTTGTTTAGTTGTTATTTGGCCAGCCAAAACCATTGTTTTCTCATCTGCTTTCTTTCAGTACCTCTAGTAACCAAACAGAGGCGATAGAATTTATGTTTTTTTTTTCCAGCTAGGAAATTTCAGGATTGACTTGTTACATGCATAAATTACTAATTGCTACTGCTTTTGTAAAGTTGAAGATCTTCCAAAACTAGCGGTTCATGAGCTTGTGGTCATAAATTTATGGGACAAAAGAATGAGTATCTTCCTAGACAGCAGAGAAATCACTAGATCTCCACAGATCCCTAGATAACAATTGAGAAAGAAAGCCAGCTAAAGAAAAATGAATATGACAAATCCAAATTGCAGAACACCAATATCGCACATCAACAATCAACTGAACACTATAAGGAAGAATTTGTAGAATGTACAGGTATTAGCATACATTATTATGTTGAAATGACTTACCGCATCTTTAGCTTGCAGATTGTCTGCCCAGGCATTCATGGCATACGGATCATTAACAGCAACACAAATGATAGAATCAATTCCTTTAGCCTTGAACTTATCAATGTTCTTTTTGTAACTAGGCACATGCTGCAGTGAACAAACCCCAGTGTATGCTCCCTACAAAATGCCAAAACGGTATAAATCCGAACTTCATAGAATTGCCATTCTAAACAAAAACAACAAAATAACAAAGCAAATAGATCCACATTCCACTTTAGGTATTGGTTAAATTGTCTTTGATTAACTATTTGGTAAGACTTACACATCTGAAAACGTTCAAGATTTTCAGTCCTGCTCTCAACATAAACCAATCAGTCCACCACCATTTTCTGCTTCATAAAAATTCATTCACAGAATATATTTTAAACCAGGTATATAGTACCGCAACCAATCCTTCATTATCGCCTCATTGAAAATAATCAATATAACAATCCTCAAGAAGTAATTATTATACATTTCAGAAAATCACAGAGATCATTATAATTTGTTATGTCTGCCGAGTTGTTCTGAACATGTCAAGCCTCGATTTTTACAACAAATTCCCATTAAAATCAAATTCCATATCTCATTTCCATGCGAAATGACAAAATTATAGCAAGTCCAATTACGATAAGCAAGTTATATGCTTATAAAGAAATATATTGTAATCGAATAAAAACCAACTTACAGGCAGTCCAAAGATGACGACTTTCTTGCCCTGAAATGAAATTTTTTTTTTTAAAAGTTACTCCATGAATTATGGTATAAAATAATTTTAAAAAAATGATTTGTTAACAGAAAAAGCAAAGTCAAACCGTGAAAATATCTTTGAGAGGAGTAGTAGAGAAGTTAGAAGAGACGCCTTCATCCCAGCTTCGAGCTTTCTGGAGACAAACACCGGGTGCAGCATTCACTATGTCCGTCCCCGCTGCAATCGACGCGTAGCTTCTTCTTGACGCTCCGGTTAGCAGACTTTCCAGCCTTGATTTCATAGCAGATGAAGTTGCTCGCTTTAGAATTGTTGATGCCATCGGCTTGCGCTGGGGTTTGTTCGTACCGGATTCTTTGCCTGCTTACTTGCTTGGTCGTTTTCGCTCTGGCTTGGCCTGGCCTTCCCACAGATTCTGGAAATGGTGGAAGATTTCCGACAATGGGTTTTGCAAATGGGTCCGTCCGAACAGGCTTTAAAGTGTTGGGTTAATAAGATACTGGGCCCATTATCTATGCAAAGTTGAAGTCCAGTTCCAATCTAGAAAAGGTTAAAGTCCAGATTAACTAACTAGAAAGAAAGATGACTCAAATGGTAAAATATTGGGCTGTTGTCTGTCATCTCAAAAATTTCTCTCCTCCTTTTGCTGAAATTCAAAGGTATCCATCTGCTATCTGGAAGGAAACCATTTACGTTTTACCTGCCCTTATCTGAAAGAAGTCCTCAAGTGCAGAAGTCAGGAGATTAGGGAACAAGACAAGACATTTCTAAAGGTCAGACTCCATTCGGTTCCGATTCTCAAGTATCTCTTTTAAATCAGAAAGAAACAATTGGAAAATTTGAAAGCCTCCACAATCTAAAGCTGCTGTAGCAACTTCTCTGGTTGAGACCTTAAAGCTTAGGGTGTTGACAATGAATTTGTCAACAGGTTGTTTTGCCATATCTGGGGCATGAATGTGAGCAGTTTAGCTAGTTCAAAATTGTTGTTCATTTTCGTTTTGTTAATTGGTTCTGTTTTTCCTGCTGACTTTACTGAAAATTTGATCCTTTCAGTATACATTTTTGTTAAAAGGTCATATATTCGTACCATAACCATGCTTGCCAGTTCAATCAGAGGGATTAGATACAAAGTGAATAAATGTTTACGAAGGTTCATCACAGCGTCATTACTCGGCAATTCTTGAGAACAGAGTAGATTTGCTCTTCTGATCACATTTAGTTCTTATATAAACTGCAAGTTTGTCATGCAGGCTGTTACATGATGGAGCTTTACATTACTTCGGAATTTAGCTACCATTCCATATGGGCAACAAACTTATTATTTTGAAGGTACTTAATCAAAGAAGTCAACATCGCATTGGCGCAATGACAGACACTTGGAGAGTTCACAGAGCTCCAAGATCGAATGTCGAATGTCGAATGCCGAAACTTGTTTTTTGTTTTTCTTTGAAAGAAACATCCATGGGGCCTGAAAGAGCAAATTACTGCACCAGAAGAAGCAATGCTGATCCATATCAAGAAACAAAGAACTCTAGGCCCCTGAAATCAATTAAAAGAAGAAGGAACCCTTTATCACAATATTACTAAGACTTACCTCTGACAGTTCTGACACAAGAAAAATGTGCGATCATGAATGGAAACACCATTCAAAAGAATAATCGAGCTCTCCGAAAGAAAAGATTACATTGCCCCATGTCAAGTTGGAATCATTTAAGAGATGCTTTTGACATAAACCCCAATACTAAACTACAGATTCAACCCCTTACTAGCAATTCTAAGTATCATTACTGGAATCTTGACAAAAATGTGAAAGGCACACCGTCCATATCAATACCCACGCATAAAAAATGTTTTTATAACGTATAGCGTACTTACTTTTTGTCTGTGAATGCCACTTTCTTATGGTCCTGTACCAGTTCCGCAGGTAAAACAAAACTACAAGACGTGATATACCAGCAAGAGCCACATAAAGGAATGCCATCAAGAAAGATCTCTGAGGGGATACACCAGCAGTAGCGAAGGCTAGTAGGTACCCAATTAAGTTGCAGGGGATGATAAAACTTCCAGATTTGATGCCGTCTAAAGTTTTCTTGGCAACGTCATCAGCTTTCATAGGAACAGGAGAGCCAATTATGATTTTGGTGAGTTCTGGCATTTTCCTCTTCGCTGCAATTGGTCAGCTTTTAATAATTAAATGCAACTGTCCGATATGTAACTTAAATGTGCTAATTGCTATGGTTAACTTGGTTATTCTCGAAGAAATCTACATCCATATCAAGCACCAGAGAATTCTAGGCCCTTGAAATCATGGGAGAAAAGAGAAACTCATTTCTTTAGCCCCATACTAGAAAAAAGCCAAACAAGCTTGGAAAAATATGTGTCTAATTTCTCCTGAAGTTTATAAATATACAAATTTATTGCATAGACTTACTGTTTTTTCTGTGCATGCCATTTCTTTATGATCCCATACAAGTTCCATCGGAAAAGCAGACCTCCAAAGCGAAATAGACCGGCGAAAACCACCTCAAGGGATGCCGTCAGGAACGATCTCTGAGGGGATACACCAGCAGTAACCATGGCGAGTGTTTGCCCAAGAAAGCTGCTGGGGATGCTAAAACTTCCACATTTGATACCATCAACGGTTATCTTGCCAATTTCTTCAGCATTGATTCCACCAGAGCCAACTATGATTTTGCTCAGTTCTGGCATAATCTTCCTTGCTGCAATACACATGATAGAGTGCTAATTTTACTCATTTATTATCTCAATTATACAATAATTTGTTGAGAAAAACATCAGGGATGAATTATATGACATAATATTTAAAAATTCTCTAAACTATTTCAAAAAATAAATCTTTACTCTTTTGAATTAAATAAACTCTTTTAACTAATAATAAATTATTTATTTTTATTTAAAATATCATTTGTTAATATGATCTGTTGATATATAATAATATAATATAATAATATTTTTACTATTCATTTTAACTCCACGTAACATAAAAATGACCCCCCCCCAAAAAAAAGTTAACTACAAAGGAAAAAAGGCTCCTAAGATTTACAATAAGTATTACTCATATGAAGACCGAATAGACCTCACAAATAGAAATGATTGAGATTTTAAAATTATATACAATTAATTATACTGATATAGATATGAACTCTAAGAAAAAAGTTCGTAATTAGTATAATGAATACAACTTCAGCATAGAATGGAAAAGATAAAGAAAGTAAAAATCAGACCTTCCTCTAGACCAGGAGTTTCAGTAACTGGAGGGAATATTATAGATGCATGAATATTATCCTCAATAACTTCCTGTTGCAATGATTCTGCTAAACCCCGAAGGCCAAATTTGGTTGCTGAATAGGCCGCATACCCATAAACACCTACCTATATTATCATATTATACATTACAATAATCAATTAAAAAATTATAATGAAATAAATTGTAAAGGTAAAATACTTTGATTTTTTTAAATTTTGATATTTATTAATATTCGAGATTTACGATTTGTTTTAAAAGAATATGTTTTGTTAGACACATAAGTCCTGCAATTAGTCAATCATTAATATTTTCAATAGTATAATAATGTAGTAACATTTTTAAGATAATTTTATTCTATATTAATTTTAAAAATTATCACAATATAAAATATGTTTTTTTTTTATTTTTTACTCTTTCTTTCTCTCTCTACTCTACCCAAGCATTCTCTCAATTTCCTCACTAAATTTGATCCACTTCCCATACAGCCATCTATAGCAGATGGCATGGTAAACGTTAACCAAACATTCTCCGACCACAGAAACGCTAAATTGGACATTCCTTGACTAGATCTGATCGTGGGAACATTGGATCTAGCACTTCTTCACTAGATCTAGTAGCGAGAATGCTAGATTTGGCACTCCCGTGGCCAGATTTGGTTAGTGACTACTAGATCTGGCATTCCCATGGTATTGGAGAACATCGACACAAGATCATGTTGGAGGGGTGCGATTTGGCACTCCTAGATCAGATTCGATAGTGGGAATGCTAGATCTGGTGCTCTTATGATCAATTCCAACTGCAAGGTGATCGACTGGAGTAAGGGAGAGCCACTGGTTAGCTTGAAAAAAAAAATTTAAAAAGGAAAAGAGTGAAAAAGAATAAGAAAGAAAAAAAAATTTTAGATATTTTACTTTTGTCTATTAATGTCAACCATTTTAAATACTAATAAACTTATATAAAATTATAATTAAAACTTAAAATAGCAGTGTATTTTACCTAGAATGCACAAAATTATCAAAAGCTAAAAGCCACGGATTAAGCTACAAACGTGGCCGGCCATTGAAGACATAAGAGCGATGCAGACAGGCCCCTTGTCCTTTCTATCCTTCATCAACGGCAAAGCGGCTTTGATGTCATTGAAACTTCCCGTCAGGTTCACGTCTATCATGAACTTGACCACATCCAATCCCTGGTTTTCAAGCTCCTGAATAACATACACGCCATGGTTAACAACTAGGACATCAATAGGGCCAGCCTCCTTGATCGTACGCTTAACGGCGTCGTAGTCACGAACATCTGCTGCGAAGATCGTGACGTCGACTTGGTAGGCCTGACGGATTTATTGCTTGGCCTCTTCGAGCTTGTCAAGGGAGCGGGTCAGAAGGGAAATACGGGCTCCCTCGGCGGCAGCTTGGTTGACAATGGCCAGGCCAATGCCAATTGACCCGCCTGTTATAAACACGAGGCGGTTTTTTATAGGGATGGTGACAGGACGGGGACGTACGATGAAGTAGAGGAGGAGAAGGACGATAGGTAGAAGGAGGAGAGCGAAGAGCACCGTTGAAAGTTAAGTAGAGTTGCTGCGCTGACTTCAATATGTAGAATTTCCTGGAAGGAAAACATCAAGTCCATTTATCCCAGGGCGGCAAATTTTAGATTCCGAACTCTTTTTTAAAAGGCAGGTGGGTTTCTTAAATTAAAGTGAAATAAATAAATATCAGTTTCTGGTTTTTATTGCTAAGTAATCAACATGAAACATGGATAATGATTTTTAGATTTAGAAATCTTTTCAAGTGGTATCATAATTAAAATAATAATAATAAATAAATTTATAAATTAAAAATTTTAATATTAAATTAAAAAATATAAATTTAATATATTTATTTAATACTTCAAAGTAAAAATATCTAGAAAAAATTATAATTATTTATAACAATTTTTTATATATTTGAAAACATTGCATGATAGTATTAATAAAAACACTATCAAATACATCTTTTCTACATATGTCATCTGGCATTTATTCATCTACTTATCACTTATTCGATTTAGCAATAATTCATCCACTCGTTACTCATTTGAAAAATATTACATGATAGCATTAGTAGAAACACCGTCAAATGCTGTCATATGTCATTTAACAATCATTCACTTATCACTCAAATACTATCATATGTCACCTACCATCATTCACTTATCACTTAACAATCATTCACTTGTCACTCATTCGAAAAACATTGCATGATAAGCAATAGTAGAAACATGACGTTGTTACAATTAGTAAGATCAATGTAAGTTTTTATTTATATATATATATATATAATTAGGAAAATAGAAATTCGAACTTTACTTTTTAAGTAGAGGGTCATGAACCAACCAATGAATCAATTGTTCAAATGCGATCAATGCAAGTTTTATTAGCAAATAAATCAAAAGATACACAATAGTTTATTTGTCTCAACCATCTTCCTTGCAAGATCACCAATTCCATTAACTTTAACAAATTCCTCATCCAAACACAGTTGGATTGAAAATTATTTACAATTGAAATCTAGTTGAGCTGTTTTGAGAAAGTGACAAACACAGACAAAGATCAAGTAGAGGAAAGTCACTACAAGTCTCAAGAGTACAACTTGAATTTTTGAAAAGAGAGAATAGTTTAGGTTTTAACTTTTTTAATAAAATCTTAAATTATAATTTTTTTTATCTTTCAATGTAGTATTTAAATATTAATATATAAATTATTTTTTTATAAATTTACTTTTTGATAATATTTAAATATTATTATTCTTGAAAGAATATTTAAAAATCTACTTTTTGACCCCACTTCTTACAAAATTGCAAAAAAAATTAATGGGTTTATAGTATTATTAAATATATAAAACTCTAAAAAATAATATAATAAATAAATATTTAAATATTATTAATATATAAAATTTTAACAAAATCTACCTTATGAAGTTTAATAAATAAATTATAGTGTAAAACAATAAGAATAGAACTACTTTTTTATATAATTATTGCTAAGACAAAAAGGAGGATACAGGCCAGGATTTTATCAGATAAAATAAAATATAGCCGCATTATGGTCTGATTTTTAATTTGTAAGCAGCAAAGCAGATAAAACAACTCGTGAATATAAACAGAAGGATTAGATCCTCAAATTAAGATTGCAAGGCAAAGGGTGAGTGCTGGTTGCATCAATTAAATGTTGCAGTTAGCATAAAAAAATGAAAATAAATAAAGAAAAGGAAATAATTAATCTAATAAATGATCTCAGGTCCGAAATCAGCAAGATTCTTGTTATTTTCTGCAAGAAAAGTGCATAACAGAGTCTATCTCCTTCCCTATCAAAAATGGCAGAAGGGTTTGGTAGCTCCTGCCCCTAAATCTAACCTATCAATAGTGGTTGGGGATAGTGAGTAGTAACTCATATATATACCTTTGGTGATAACGGCCATCTACATTGATCTCTCATGCTAAAATACAACAGAAGAGTAGTGTTTTTAGTAGCTATTTATGAGGTTGAAGCTGTGATTAAATGGGTCTACGGGATATAATCAAGTTTGATCATTCAATTTTGCCAAGTGCTGGTAGCAGAACAAATTTATTGATGTTGATCATGCACAAAGTTCTAATACTAACTGCAACTTCCAATCTAGTGTCAATTTTAGCATGACAGTTATTATGATTTAAGATAATTAGTTTTCAGCAAGCAAAGTTTAATCCTACTTAAGGAGATTTGATTCATCCAGTATTAAAGAATTTAAAATGTCAGGGTTCAACATGTTTTTATTTCTATTGCACTCTAATCTCATATATCACATTTTGTTCTGCGATCTTTGGGAAACACCATCAAGCTTAATGCCAATGGAATTAAGAGACTAATTTTGTTCATATTTTTAGGATTAAAATCGACTAATTGACTGATCAGAGCTCAATTACGTTTTACTTAGTTGAAAAGTTTGAGTTGGAAGCAGATCATATCGGTGCAAGGCAGCGGATGTGTGGAAATTGGAGGGTTATATAGACTGACTCTGGAAGACACAAAACAAAAAAAAGCAGTATTTATCTCAAGTAGAGATGGTCTTCTTCCACCAATTGGAGTGTTGTTATGGTTCTATATATAGGTAACCCTACTTGTGTTTTGTATTTGTTGAGTTCATATTTTTATTATTTTTTTCCCAGGAAATTAAAAAGAAAGTTTTCATAATAGAGATTGGGGGCTTTGAGCAAATCGAGAATAAATTTTCACAAGCTTCATAAGAATTGTCAATTAATTCTTTGAACATATGACAGCACTTCGGATCACAATTTATTTTAATACAAACCACGAACTTTCCAATGCAGGCTGTCGTGTATTGCTTGCAGTTCTTGTCATAATAAGTCCAGGACAAACTATAGCTTCTCCCAATTCAGGCCATTGAAACATGATTCCAGCATGTTTATTACTTACTTTTAAGTATATGGAAAACTTCATTTTGGGCAATAAAGCAGTATTTAGAAAGTTGGGATGAACATTGCAAAGAAAATTGATACATCTGATTTAGCAAGTAGACAAATGCTTTAGATTCAATTCTCATAAATGACTCCCACCTCGTCAATTATGGATCCAACCACTGACTTCTTTCACCTCAGATTTGAGATGGAGATTTGGTGAGAGGTTCAGATCCCAGAGTTGAAACTTGTTATTCTCAAAGAAATTAATCCATGCCCATATACCATGTCAAGCTCCAGAGAAATCTAGGCCCTTGAAATCATGGGAGAAAAGAGAAACTCATTAGCACCACATTCGTTATAGAAAACTCTTTAACCCCACACTAGAAAAAAGCTAAACAAAGTCGGGAAAATATGTGCTTAATTCCTCCTGACGTTTATAAGCACACAAATTTATTGCATAGACTTACTGTTTTTTCTGTGCATGCCATTGCTCTATGGTCCCATACAAGTTCCATTGGAAAAGCAGACCTCCAAAGCGAGATAGACCGGCGAAAACCACCTCAAGGGATGCCATCAGGAACGATCTCTGAGGGGATACACCAGCAGTAGCTATGGCGAATGTTTGGCCAAGAAAGTTGCAGGGGATGCCAAAACTTCCAGATTTTATGCCATTAACAGTTATCTTGCCAATTTCTTCGGCTTTCATTCCACCAGAGCCAACTATGATTTTGGTCAGTTCTGGCATATTCTTCCTTGCTGCAAAATACATGATACAGTGGTAATTATACTAATTTATTATCTCCTCACATCAGAGAAGGTAATATATATATATATATATATATATGACATAATATTTTTAAAAGTTCAATTATTTAAAATTTTTTTAAATATATATTTTTTTATTACATTCAATTAAGTTTTTATATTTTATTTTAGATGAAATATATGTTTTTATTAACAATTGATTAATTGTTTTTAATAAAAATAACATTTATTATTTTTTGTCTCGTGATACATATTGATATATTATAATTAATAATGATATTGATGATATAATTATGTGAGATTTTTATTTTTTACATTAACATTACATAGTATTAAATAATAATAATAATAAAATCATTAAATTGACTAAAAATGTTTGTACAATTTACAATTATATTCCCTACAAATATTGTAATTATTCAATTCCAAGTTCTAACTATCCACACTGTAAGGACTTACCTACTACTTATATGAAGCCCAAGTAGACCCACAAATAAAAATATTGAAATTTTAAAATTATATACAATTAATTAATTAATTATATGAACTCCAAGAAAAAAAAATGAAAATGGGACAGCGAATGCAACTTCAGCATGATAGAAGTCTAGGAATGGAAAAAATAAAAGAAAGTAAAAATCTCACCTTCAACTATACCAGGAGTTTCAGTAACTGGAGGGAATATAATAGACACGTGAATATTATCCTCAATTACTTCTTGTTGCAATGATTCGGCTAATCCACGAAGGCCAAATTTGGTTGCTGAATAGGCCGCAAACCCATAAATTCCTACCTATATTTCCATATAATTAAACATTACCAATAATCACTTCAAAAAATTGTAATGAAACAAAAGGAAAATGAAATAACATATATAATTGATTAAAAATAGAAAAAATCACAATTTTATTACTTTGTGTATTTATCTTTTTATCGTCTAAATAAATTATATTTTTTATAATTTTTCTAATATCTTCGTACCTAAATGTAATTTTTATTTTTTGGAAAGCGAAAGCAAAACGTAAATAATAAAACCGAACTTAAATAAGTTATAATGGAATATGTTAATGTATAATAATGCACACAATTATCAAAAGCTGAAACCCAAGGATTAAGCTACAAACTTGGCCGGCCATTGAAGACATGAGGGCGATGGAGGCAGGCTCCTTGTCCTTTCTATCCTTCATCAACGGCAAAGCGGCTTTGATGACATTGAAACTCCCCGTCAGGTTCACGTCTATCATGAACTTGACCACATCCAATCCCTGGTTCTCAAGCTCCTGAATAGCATACACGCCATGGTTGACAACTAGGACATCAATAGGGCCAGCCTCCTTGATCGCACTCTGAACGGTATCGTAGTCACGAACATCTGCAGCGAAGATCGCGACGTCGACTTGGTAGGCCTGACGGATTGATTGCTTGGCCTCTTCGAGCTTGTCGAGGGAGCGGGCCAGAAGGGAAATACGGGCTCCCTCGGAGGCAGCTTGTTTGGCAATGGCCAGACCAATGCCAATTGATCCGCCTGTTATAAACACGTGGCGGTTTTTTATAGGGATGGTGACGGGGCGGGGCCGGACGATGAAGTAGAGGAGGAGGAGGAGGAGGAGAGCGAAGAGCACCATAGAAAGTTAATTTGTTTAGCGAAGAGAAATTTGGTAAGGTTAAAGTAGAGCTGCTGCACTGACTTCAATATGTAGAATTTCCGGGCAGGAAAACATCAAGAGGAAATTGACATCAAATTCCATTTATCCGAGGGCGGTAAAATTTTAGATTCCAAACTCTTTTGAAAAAGCAAGTGGGTTTCTTAAATTAAAGTGAAATAGATATCATTTTCTTGTTTTTATTTATTGCTAACGTTATCAATATAAAACATCCTCACCTCCATGAGTTTTGGATGTGACAGGATGCCTAACCAGAAGCACTGCCGATCATTATTTCCGAGTTTAATAAATAAATTATAGTATTAATCAATAAGAATAGAACTGCGTTTTTCATTTAATTATTGCTAAGACAAAAAGACGGATACAGGTCAGGACTCCATCGGATAAAATAACATATAGCTACATTATGGTCTGATTTTTAATTTGTAAGCAGCCAAGCAGATAAAACAACTCTTTGAGTATAGACAAAAGGATTGGATCCTCAAATTAAGATTTCAAGGCAAAGGGTGTGTGCTGGTTGCATCAATTAAATGTTGAAGTTACCATAAATATATCAAAATAAATAAAAAAAGGAAATAATTAATCTAATGAATGATCTCAGGTCTGAAATCAGCAATATTATTGTTATTTTTCTGCTAAAACTTTGCCTAACAGAGTCTATCTCCTTCTCTATCAAAAATGGAAGAAGATTTTAATAGCTCCTGGCCCCGAAGCTAACCTATCAATAGTTGTTGGGGATGGCAGTGAGTTTATATACCTTTGGGGTGATAACGTGCATCTACATTGATCTCTCATGCTAAAATATAACAGAAGAGTAGGGTTGATCACAAATTTATGGGTCCACGGAAGTAACCAAGTTTGAGCTTTCAATTTTGTCCATTGCTGGTAACAGAACAAATTTGTTGTTGTCAATCACAAAGTTCTAATACTAACTGAAACTTCCATTCTAGGATGTAATTGATTAATGGTTGCAGGCTTGCTTGCAGCTCTTAAATCAATCATGAGAATTTTGGCTACTACACTTCAGTTTCGCTAATAAACTCATGATTTTTAAAACTTGAAGGTATCTGATCTACTATCAAGTGAACGTCGCATGCATTAATCAGATAAAATGCCAGAAACTCAGATGATGAGCTGGAAAGAGCTTCAGTTTTTGAATTTTTTTTTTTAAAGGCAAATTTATTGATAAGATCTCACGTGACACAAGCCTTACAACTATAGACAAAAAAATCCTTGCATACGAAGATTGGCTAAGCAACAGAAGTGGTTTGATGTGCCTTCAAAAGAAAGAGCGACATTACAGTATTCAAGTTAATGTCATAACAAACCACAGCCTTACGGAATAAAAGAACTCTATTCCTATGTAAACCAGGATACCTAAAAGGATCTATCAACATGAGGAGATGAGGAATCCAAAGACAAAGAAGGTATTGAAATTATCAACTCTTAGAACTCCAGCTTTAGCCAGACCATCTGCCACTGTATCGATTTCACGACTAATATGGTTGAAGGTGACCTTGCTTATTCTTTTGGTGAGAGTTCCAACGGCGTTGGAGATGAGCTTCATACAAGTTCTTGCATGTTAATGAATGCTAAAACTTGTTATTGGTAAAAACATATTAAAAGAGTACCAACATCCATTAGACCTCAGGGGTAAATCACGGCAGCCGGAAGGGAAAAAGGATCAATATAAAGCACCAACTATCTCTACTTCCCTCAAAATAAATCAAAACAAAAAGGAAACCTTTTAGCATGACATTTATTATGATTTAAGACAATTAGTTGTCAGCAAGAAAAGTTTAATCATGCATGCATACAATTATCATTCAACAGAATAATCAAAGTTCTCACATCTTTTCCAACGTAAAACTCACAATTGCCTTATTTAGATATACTTTTAACATAATCTGCAACTAGCTCGAGATACATTTAAAGCAAGGTGGACAGGTATATATGCTTCCTCCTAAAGCATAAATAAGCCAATTTATTGCATATGTTTAGCTTTTTTCAGCGCATGCACTTTTCTATTCTCCCATGTATACCAGTTCCATAGGTAAAACAGAGCTACAAAGCGTGATATACCAGCACAAACCACCTCAGTCGACGCCATCAAGAAGATCTCTGAGGGGATAAGCCAGAAGTAGCTATGGCCAGTATGTGCCCAATAAAGTTGCAGGGGATGATATAACTTCCAGATTTGATGCCATCTAAAGTCATTTTTGCAATTTCTCCAACTTCGTTGCACCGGAGGAGGCAGTTATGTTTTTGGCGAGTTCTGGCATAGCCTTGATTGCAGCAGTTGGTCAGTTTTTAATATAATTAGATGCAACTGATTGATAAAAAAAATATACAATTGGCTATAATTGATCTCTTACAAGAAGCTTGCTAGAGTTAAATGGGTCTCCTTATTTTTCATGTATAAATGAACATAAATTGATTAATAATATCTCAAAAAATGATGATACCTCACAACTTTACAAAAATCAACTATGTCATTAAAGAATCAGTCAATTTATAGCGTGATAAAAGTATCATTGCCGCGCCTTCATCTAGACCGGGAGTTTCAGTGACTGGAGGGCATATGAGAGCGACATGAATACTATCCGAAATGACTTCCTGTTGCAATACTTCTGCTAATCTCCGGAGGCCAAATTTGCTTACTGAATAGGCCCAATAACCATAAACTCCTACCTATAGCCACATTATTCATTGAAAAAAAATCAATTAAAGGTAATTAACAAGAAAGAATCATAAAAATGGGCAAAATTTAAGGCTAAATAACTCATAGTGATCTAGTTTTTGTCAAAAGCTAATAAAAAATCAAGGAATAAGACAGACCTGGCCAGCCTGTGAGGACATGAGAGCGATGCAAAGAGGCCCCTTATTTTTCCTATCTTTCATCAGGAGCAAAACAGCTTTGATGACATTAAAAGTCCCCATCAGGGTCACGTCTACCATGAATCTGACCTCATCCAGTCCCTGTCTGTCCAAAGCCGGAGGCACAAATACTAGAACATCAATGGGGCCGTCATCCTTGACTGCACACTGAACAGCTTCAAAATCTCAAACATCAGCAGCGAAGATCGAGACGTCGACATCGTAGACCTGTCGTATTGATTTCTTGGCCTCCTGAACGGGCCAAGAGGGAGACACGTGCTCCTTCGGAGGCGGCACGTTTGGCCACGGCGAGTCCGATGCCACTTGACCCCCGTTATGATCACGTGGCTGTTCTTGACAGGGACGTTAACGGGCCGGCGGACGGGAGGGCAAGCTTTTTTCTACCTACTCTTTGTTTTTTTAAAATTTTTTAATTTCATCCCTGTAAAAATATTAAAAATTTTTTAACATATTTTTATTTTTTTAAAATTTTAAAATTTTATTTTTAAACTAATCTTTTATTTGGTGAGATGGCTCATAACAATTAACCCTAGTTAATTTTAATAGACTATAAATAAAACTTATTGTAATAAAATTATATTCAAATTTTATTTTCCAAAACCTTTTAACCATAACCTTTTATTTTATATTCAAATTTTATTTTCCAAAACCTTTTATTTTCCAAAATTTTAAATTATATTCCAAAAGTCATTTTTCTTACACTTTTTCGCTTGAACATTTTCCGTGCATAAAACCACTAATCAATAATTTAAATTTCATGTAAGAATAATGAGTAAGTTTGATTTATTTATTGTTATTTTATTTTTAATATTTTCAATTTTAAATTTTTTCTTTATTTAATAGTTTTCATTTAGTGATTTTAATTTAGGGTTTATCTTTTTAGTCATTTTTTATCAAAAATAACAAAGCAAAGATTTGATTGAGCTTACTTATTTATTTAGGGATTGTTTGATTGCTTCCCTACAAATTTTTTTTTTTAGATTCTTGTAAACAATTAAATTTTTTATTCGGGGTTGCTTCTTCATCTAATTGTTTATTAATATTGTATTTTATTTTTGTAATTAATTTTAAGGAATTACTTCTCATTGAATTATTTATTGATAGCACTTAATATTTTTTAAGATATTGCTTTCGATTAAGATTTTTGTTATTATATTTGTTAATTTTTGTTTGTCATTAAAGTTTATTTAAGAATTAGGATTATTGTCATTATTAAATTATTTATAATTATAACAATTAATTATTTTAAGTAATTTATTAATATTGATTTTTTGAATAATTTAAAAAATTTTTGAATTATGAAAATAAATTGCCATGAAGAGAATTGAATCTTACTTCAAGAAAAAGAGTCATTCATAAAATGTTAGTACTTCTAAATCTTCACTCCTCTAAACATGAAATCTTAATTCTGTCATTGGTGTCAGGGGCCTGACGATGAAGTAGAGGAAGAAACCAAGGAATGGTATAATGACAAGAGTGAAGAGAATGTTGAAGATTGTTCTTTAATCTTGCATTCAAACTCTTACAGAAGTATATATAGATGGAGGTTCCTGGGTTTTTCAATTTTGGAGAAGGAACAAGACAAACACGTAACCACAATCTTAGTTGAATAGTCTTATACACACCGTTTAACTATATATTCCCTAATGTTGTTTTCATCTTTACCTTTATCTTATTGTTACCCAGTTGTTTTACTATTTTACAAGTTTGGGTTTTTATTGCTTTTTTCACTGGTTGTTAGACGTGGTCATGTCTAGGGAAGGCTGCTGTAGAATCTGGCGCAGCTCTCGGTATTGGGTTCTTCAAAACCGTTGCTAGGCCAGACGCTTTATTTTCATTGGTTGGATTTTATCCTTCTTTCTCTTGTAAACTGAACATGTAAATGGTTGTTGCTTTGTTATTTTCGTTTTTGTCCATCTTTCTCTCTCCTCTTCCTCGACTTTGTTCATCAACCATCATCTGTTTATTCATATTTTTTTCCAGAAAATCCACAGAGCATCATTGGCAAGTGTTATTCAAAATATGTTAAGTTAGTTGCTGCAGGGCTGAATGGGAAACTCAAA